AATGTAAGGAGAAATTCTGTCCTGGTCACTTGTGGGAGTGAAAGGATTAAGTATGAGCTGAAATTTTCCCAATATTTGAGTGTCATCCGAAGGAAGACCGAAGGAAGCTGTTAATTACATCAGTAACTCACATGGCCAAGAAACTGAATGAATGCTGCTTGATTCAGCTTCACCTTCATTGGAAAGATACTTCACCATAGATTTTAGAAGGGAGTTCACTTAAGCAACTGATTGAACACTCTTCACACTGATTGTAGGGCTGAATCATAAATCATGATATCATAAACTTTATTTGTGTCTTGAATATCTAGCTGATGGGTTTAAAAACTCCTCTACTAATAGGGGACACTTAATATAGTTAATAACCTACTAACTATTTTCTAATGAACTATTAAAAAAAGCCTAACAATATAATTAACAATATGATATAGTTAAAAACCTATTAACTATCGACTAATGGGATAAATTATTAGAAAGAGAAAAGATTAAGAATTACAAAGTATGCAATTGGAACAATTGAAAAATTCTCAATTGCAGAGGCTGTATAATATCGATAAATTACAACTGTGAATGATGGTACAGTCTGTGCAGTAGAGGTTTTAATTGATGATAAAGAGTTCTGTCTGAAAAATGTCCTATTAAGCTAAAATATATTGCTTTTGGTACGAACATGTTCTGAGTTAACTGTTGATCAGTGCTACAAATTGTGAAGGAGATGTTCTCATCCATTTCATGAAAATCTGATTGTATTGATCCCTGAGTTTACTTGAGGATGAAGTGTTCTTTTCAAGAGAAAATGTAAAAAAAATTAAGAGATATTTTTCATATACACTGGTAACGAGGTTAAAGAAGTTGACATCATCAGAGCTTGAAAGAGTTGCAAAGTTTTGAATGATAACACTCCCTATTTAAATTCATTGAATCTCCACAAGTGAAGACCATCTATGAAAAAAAGAGATTGAGGCTAACTATGTTCCTGGTAGCAGGCCACAAATTCTAAATTTTCAGCCGAACCAAAGCTCAAAAGTGTCAATTTAGAACTGTTATCTGAGAAATCTTTGCTAGGAAATACATGGGAGTCAACAAAGAACAGTCATCGTTGTTACTGCCAAAATGCGAGTCATGCAAATATTTTTATTGGGGAATGCACTTATTGCAGTTATTGAATTTAATTCAGTTTAACTGATTGTGAGATTGACCAGGGAAGCCTGTTTGTATATAAGCTCACTAAGGCAGTGACATGTGAATATTGGCAAAATAAAAGTTAATTTTTACCATGTATGAAAATTGCAAACATTAACATTCAATTTTCTGCAAAGTCATTTAACTATTGTGGTGAAGGTTCAGTAGCACCTTAATCTTGCAATAATCTAACTCTGTGACCACCAATTTGACACCTTATTTTGGGATACTTTCTAATTCTCTGCTACAAGCATACACATCAATATCAGACTAATCTAAATTCCAGTAAATTATGGTTTTATGAGTCGCCTTGTGAATGGTCATTTCCATCTTGTGAATAGTTTCAGCCTCTATTAAATATTCCTTTGAACCAGTTCCACCCAGACCTAAAGCAGTCGCCAATCTGTTCAAGGAAACCTCGTTCACGTGGAGGATCATTCATGACTGTGATTGCATCTCTTCTGCCATTTGAGATAAAGGTATCAATATCAGACAAATCCAAATAATCATAGATATTCTCTGCAATCATTTCAAACACTTTTTCAACATTTTTTCCACTTTGTGCACTGGTTTCAATGAAGGGAATTCCATAATTTTGAGCAAAACGTTCACCCTCCTTAGAAACAACAAGTTCACTCTGCTCGCTTTCCATCAAATCTGCCTTATTGCCCACTAAAAGCAAACTCGGAATGTCAGGTCTTTCCCGATTGATAAAATGCAACATTTCAGGAACACCTTCCGAGAGAGAAGAAGGGTTGTTCACGTCATATACGAGGAGGATTCCCTGAGACCGCCGAATTAGTGTTGGAGTGATGGAACGGCGAAATCTTTCCTGTCCAGCAGTATCTACAACTCTCAATGTAAAGTCTTTACTATGGATTTTGATGGAAACGTGTTTGTGATCACAACCATATGTGGGAGCTACTCTCTCAGAGAACTTGTGGTTAACAAATCTTGAAATAAGACATGTCTTTCCCACATTTGATATCCCGAGAACTGTGACTTCAATAACTGGGATTTCTCCTACAGCTCTGTTTGCAATAATTTTCTTCTGCTCGATTTTTGAACATTCTTGTCGAAGCATTTCAGTGAGCTTCTCAGCACTAGGTCTTTTGTCACTGGAATCCTCTATACAGAGAAACACAATTTCCTTCAGCTTGTGCTCACCCATCATCTTGATGTCACCTTTACGACGATCCTTTTCTAGGATCTGTTCACCATCTTTAAACACAGAAGAGAATGTATAATTTGCTTAAGTTTTGAGCTAAAGAAGATCGAATTGTAAATCAATGACAATGTATTGGACAAGAGAAGCATAAGGTAACAGTGACACCACTATTGAAGTTTTGTATAGTTGGGTAAGGGAAAAATTTGAAGCTCAATAATTCACTGATACCGTACTTCCTTGAATGAGTGCCAAGACACTCATTTAAAATTTGGCTAAAGGAAGGGGGGGGTTGGGGGGGTTGGGGGGGATGCTTATTCAAAGGAAGGTGCTTAATCTGGTGGGTGCTTATTAAGTTTTACTTTCAAAGAACTGTAACTTTATTGGCTAAATTGTTAAACAAAAACTACAGCATTATCCACGCAAAGTCAATATTTCTTTTTGTTCAAAAATTTGGGAAACATTCATTTCCTTAAAAACATGTATTTAAAATTCTGCTATAGGAAGGGGGGGTTGGGGGGTGCTCATTCAAAAGAGGGTGCTTAATCTAATAGGCACTTATTATGTTTTACTTTGAAAGAATTGTAACTTAATGGTTAAATCATTAAACAAAAACTACAGCATTATCCAGTTAAAGCCAATACTTCAATATTTCTTTTTTGTTTAAACACTTGGGAAACATTCATTTCCTTAAAAAGACAACAGGGATTAAGCTAAGAAGTATGATGTTAATGCAGTTGGAACTGTAAATGTGGTACATGTGTATGGCACTGACGAATTGTTTGGCACACTCCGATTGAGCTATCAATCCTTATAGAAACTGTTTTTATCTACATGCCAACCAATTTGAGAA